GTCGACGATAAGTCCAAAATGGAATTGGAACATTTTTCGCCGCATGAAAAATGCAGTATAGTTTAATTAAGGAAAAATTTATTATTTTATTAAATTTAATGCAGCAAAAGGCATTATTGAGTAGAAAATTGAATTAATTTACTATCTACATTCAACTTTTATGTGTAAATGATGTAATTTGTATGAAAATTGAAAAATAAAAATCAGCCCCAAAAGATGGGGTCACTAATTTATTAATAACTTTTAAACTAGAGGTACCATTTTTTTCTTTTATGGCTCATTCGAAAGAGGATAAAATTACCTTTCATATAATGCAAAATTTTGTATAGGTTGTTCGATTAACTTAGGAGCAGTACTGCGATGAAGATAGAGATGTCATTTTCAAATATTATTTAATTAAAACTTTGTTACTTGACCAAAAATTATGAACTAAAAAGCTTATAACAATAAAAAATATGTTTGTTTTTCTAAATATAATCGCTTTTTACATAATATAGAAAAAATTTTCTTCAAAATAAGGAAAATAAAATTTTGTAAAAATAGGTTACTTTACAAAATTAATTATATCTTTAAAAGCAGAGGTACCATTTTTCTGCAAATTAGCTTAATCGAAAGAGGACACTTCAAACTTTCATTTAATGTCTTCATATTTATAGATTGGTCGATTAACTTAAAAGTTATTGAGTGTCAAAGTTCAGAAATTAATTTTCCTTTAAAAACGACATTTTTCTTATAAAAAGCATATCCCAGAAGTCAGAAAACAGTTTATATATAAATAACTTTCAATACAATACTCTAATAAGCACAATTATTTGAAAAAAATCGAAATTAGTTTAATTTTATTAATTATTCAAAAATTTTGTACAAAGTTGGTTAATAGATGGCATACCATCTTAAATTAAATTCGCTGAAAAATTAAAATGGCACTGAAAAACATAATGTACAGTTGCAGAGTTATTGATAAGTCCATAGTACTGCAAAAGAAAAGCTAACGTCGATTTTTTATTAAACTTGCTGCATCAAAGATATTATCAAAATAAGAAACTAGAATTTTTTCTAAAACGATTGATATACAATATTATATATCTTATTCGATTAACAAATTATATATAATTAAATTAAATGTGAACTAACTTGGGCATGCACAACAGTTGAAATTGCGTTGATGATATATGTGGGATATTAAATATCAAAATATAGTTAGCGTCGAATTTTTATTAAGATTATTGCATCTAAGATATTATTTGAACAAAAAACTAGAATTTTTCTAAGCCAATTAATGTCTAATATTATATATATTGTTCGATTAACAAATTAAATAAAATTAATTAAATTATACGCTAACTTGTGAATGCAAAACAGTTTAATTTGCATTGATGATAAATTTGGGAAATTTAATGTCAAAATATAGTTAGCGTCGATTTTTTATTACGATGTCATTTCAAACTTTAATTAATTAAAACATTATTATTTAATTAAAAACTATGAAATAAAAAACAGATAATAGTAAAAAATATGTTTGGTTTTCTAAATATACTTAGTTTTTATATAGTATAGAGCAAATTTTCTTTAAAAATGGAAAGCAAACATTGTAAAACGAGGGTTGCTTACAAATAATTATATCTTAAAAGCAGAGATAACCATTTTTCTGCAATTAGCTAATCGAAGAGGACACTTCTAGCTTTCATTTTGATGTATTCAAATCATAGATTCGTCGATTAACTTAAGTTATTGAGTGCCAAAGTCAAAACTAATTTTCTTGGATACAAATAATTTATTCTTTAAAAGCAGAGATACCATTTTTCTGCAAATTACCTTAATCGAAAGAGGACCTCTAGCTTCATTTGAATGATCATATCCATGATTGGTCGATTAACTTAAAAGTTAATTAAGTGCAAAGGTTCAAAACTAATTTTCTTTGAATACAAAATTAATTATATCTTTAAAAGCAGAGATACCATTTTTCTGCAAATTAGCTTAATCGAAAGAGGACACTTCTAGCTTTCATTTGATGTATTCATATTTATAGATTGGTCGATTAACTTAAAAGTTATTGAGTGTCAAAGTTCAAAAACTAATTTTCTTTGATACAAAATTAATTATATCTTTAAAAGCAGAGATACCATTTTTCTCGCAAATTAGCTTAATCGAAAGAGGACACTTCTAGCTTTCATTTGATGTATTCATATTTATAGATTGGTCGATTAACTTAAAAGTTATTGAGTGTCAAATTTCAGAAACTAATTTTCTTTGATACAAAATTAATTATATCTTTAAAAGCAGAGATACCATTTTTCTGCAAATTAGCTTAATCGAAAGAAGACACTTCTAGCTTTCATTTGATGTATTCATATTTATAGATTGGTCGATTAACTTAAAAGTTATTGAGTGCCGAAGTTCAGAAACAATAAAATTTATAAAATAAATTTTAAAAATAAAAATCAACACTAACACTTTTTTGTTCTGTTAATGTAACAATTTTAAAAAATTATTATACGCATTAACATTATTTATTCTTATTATATACATACATATTTTATTTGTTTGAAATTTATTTGAAAAAAATTATTTCTGTTTTTTTAGGGCCAGCAGAAGAAAAAATTTAACAAAAAAAAAATTACCAAAAAATGTGAGTATAATTTAAAAAGAAATATTTAAAAAAAAAAATGAGAATAAATAGAAATAAATTTATTAATTATAACATATCTTTTCATTTCAGATAATCACCAAAACAAAAAAGTGACTGGGCCAAAGCCAACCAGTCAAACCCAGTCGGCACCGCCGGTACCGGTGCAACAATATCAGCTGTGGCTGCAGCCACAACAATACCAGCTGTGGCCGCAGCCACAACCATACCAACTGCAGCCGCAGCCGCAGCCACAACTATACCAGCTGCATCAATTCCAGCCGTGGCCGCAGCAGCAAGCATACCAGCCGGAGCAACATCCATACCAGCCGGAGCAGCATCCATACCAGCCGGAGCAGCAACCATACGACCTGTCGCAGCCGAGACAGCATCTGCTGCAGCCGCAACGGATACAACAACTCTCGCAGCCGCAACGGAGACAACAACTCCCGCAGCCGCAACAACCTCAGCGCAATAGTGGAGGTGATCAATTGGCAAATGACCTGGAAAAAATAATAATTTGAAAATTATTTTAAATATAAAATATTAAATAATATTGTATATAAATATAAATTATATATAAATATAAATTATATCCTTTTCTTTAAAAAAATAAATTTAATAGTTTTTAATTAATGTAATAAATAATAAATAAATATATTTGATGAAAAATAAATTTTGTTTTTAAATTTTTAAAAATTTTAAAACCTAATTTTCATGCAAAAACAAAATTACTTATAAAATTAAATGACTCAATAGACTTACATAGGTCTATTGAGTCATTATGTTCTTCAGCTAACAATTATTTGTATAAGATCCTTTACTAATTATTTAATTAACAAACTTCTTAACAATCACATCGATATGCATACACTTGCTTATTTATTTGTAATAAATATTGGGGATATCATTGATAGGACTACAGAATTTTAAGATTTCTGTATATAATTTAGTCTAGTGGTTTAAAATATGTCAAAAAAACCTATCGGTAGTACAGACCCAAGTTATTATATTTTTAAATTAATTTTATTTAATTAGTTAATCAAACAAGGTTATAATAAATCGTCTAAAATAAAATTCTATAATTTTATTTTAATAATATCTTAGATGCAGTAAATTTAATGAAAATTCGTGACATATAAATATCCCAAATTTATCAACGAAATTTACTAACGGTTGTGCATAAATAAGTAAGCGCACATTTGAATTAATTATAATTAATATGTGAATATTCTATTTTTTTTTAGTTTATTCTGTACTAAAATTTTTCTGTCCTCTGGTATATGATTTTTAAAGATAAAAGGTTTTTCTTTTCAAAGAAAATTAGTTTCTGAACTTCGGCACTCAATAACTTTTAAGTTAATCGACCAATCTATAAATATGAATACATCAAATGAAAGCTAGAAGTGTCTTCTTTCGATTAAGCTAATTTGCAGAAAAATGGTATCTCTGCTTTTAAAGATATAATTAATTTTGTATCAAAGAAA